AGTAACAACTGGGATCTTCAACTCGTATTCTCTTACATGCTTATATTCGGTTTCTTTCAATACCCAGATCCCTGTTTTCTCAATAATCTCATTCATCTTGTAATCACAGTTGTTTTTCCCATATCGATCATCGAGTCTACCGATAGCTACAACAGTTGACTCAAAATTACCATCAGTGACAGAGGGTCATCCATAAACGAGGATAGCAGTTCTAGTGTGGTATTGATAGAACTGATGACGGTATTGACAGTATTTGTGGTCTAAACATCAGTGGTAATGCTATTAAGGTATTTCAAAATCCTAAGTGAATTCATTTACTAGTATGCTGAGTTGATCGATATTTTTCAGTCATACTACCTAGTTTTATTTCAATTCATGAGAATGCATGGTTGTTGTGTCAGAATAGGCCTCATATATCAACACAACAACTATGCATTCTCATTCCCGTCTCATAATATTTGGAACAGAAACGTTTGTTGAGATGAGTAACACTGTAGCGTTTACATAAAATGATTGGCATTGGAATTATTCTCCTAATTTGAAATTTATATCTGTACTTCTCACACAGATCATACGTTTTCTCTCAGAATTTTCCATATCCAGACCACAACAATAATAGTTGCTCTATTCCAAACAGTACGTTTGATACAATGTGGAATTTGCAGCATGTTATACAAGATTGTATCTAACTTTCACCTCACATTTACATAAAACGGGGTAAATAATTCTTAGGGCATTTACATTGGTAATAATATCAATAAGAATGTGAATGTAGAATTGAACCTACATGTTAATAGAGATATTGACAACACTCTATTTATGATAGAAAGAATAAAATGGAACGTACACTTACTGTCTAGGAGTAAATTATTGGTTTTGTACCTAACACGTTTCTCGTCACAAAAAATGCACAGCAGATAAGGTGTCTCACAGTTTTTGTACTTAGTCACCAGCGCATAAAGTTCTTTTGATAACTGCTTCTAGTCCTGTCTGTTGAAATACAACGAGAGAGAGAGTTGAGTATTCAGAGGATTTTCAGAGTCCAAAAGAATATTCTCGGAGTTGTTGCATGAGTTCGAGTATTTATCTACTTCAGCATTAGCGAGCCCGTTTAGCAGGACCCTACTTGGCTTACCATCAGGTTTTTAATACCCTTCACACTGTAACAAATTCTTTCTCAAACAAGTTAAAAATCCCTACTGGTTAGTATAAAATAAAACATGTTCAACGAAGAGTCACTCTTTTTAGCTACATTGTTATCGAATCAGATAATCGCATATATCTAGTAAATTTTCTTAGCAACAAAAGAACCAGTCACAAAGACGTGTCATAAGAGTTGGTAATGTTAGATTGCAAATTATGTGATATGGAAAGCGCTCATCGGGTAGGAAATTAAATAAAAATAAAAAATTAGATTGAATGACTTGATATATTGGCGGTTTTAGTGATTTAGGTTTCATGGATTTTGTGATGAAACGTTCGAGGGAGCCATTTCAAGAAGAATTCTTTTCAGAGTGTTCAGTTCCTCGCATACAATGTCAGGGTTGTGAATGCTGAGGATTCTGTGCTTCAACAAACGGACCAGGTTTAGTGGAAGTTAGTGGGTTGTCCATTCAATGTCGGCTTTCTGTGGATAGATCATTTTAGTGTTCCATCTTGTTAATATCTCGTTAGTTGAAAGTCCAGTAAAGTTATTTTTGAATCAGACCCATTTAATGTGAACTGCATTGTAAGATGGTAGCAGTTGACGAAATCCAGGGTGTCTTCTGAATTCCTTATTTATTTGAGATAATAAAAGTATCTTTTTTGAAACCCAAAGTTGTGTTGTTGTATTTTGATATGAATAAATCTGCGTGCGACAGGCGTAGCAGTGAGAAGAGAATTGGACAATTATGACCCGTCTCAAATGGAGTTCTTTCGATGAGTCAGCAAGTACTCCACTATTCATTCGTATTGAATCATGTTCGTACATGTAGCATGCTGTTTCACTTAGTGGGACATTTGCAAACAGTGATAGTGCGTCTGTTGAGAGTCTGCTGTGATAAGAGACGTTGATATTTTCAGCAAAGTTGACAAAGTCAAAGGAATATCGGAGTGAGTGGCAGTAAACAAGCCATCTGATTGGTTTCAGTAGGTCTACTAACGATTGAGCAGTATGACAATAAGGTGAGTGCGTCATGTCGAGAATATGTCGAGGAAGTTTGCCTCCTCTGTGAATTTTGTTTTCGGCAATCTATAGAGTCAGGTTATGTATGAGTCAGATGGTCTTAGAAGTTCCAACATTTGGCGTCAACGAGAAATTCAGTCTTTAGTTTTAGCAGGGTGCCCGCTAGTTTGGTTTCGTTTGCTCAACCATATTCTTTTCATTCATAAGTTTTGTGAATTTGATTCGTCAGAGAGGATGGTCAGTATTTTACTAATATAGTCGTCACGATTCATGGTAACGATTCCCCAAATTGATCAGGGCATATCAGCACTATCTCTTCATTCTTCAATAATTCATTCAGCTCTTTATAGTCTTTCTTGGTTAATCTGGACCTTCCATTTGTTTCGGTATTCAAAAACTAACGACAACTGACAATGACTGATGACTTGAGTTGTAGCAGGTTTTCTTCATATATTCGTGCCAGATCATAAGTTTGACTTATGAGATTTTCAGAAATGAACCTGGAATCTAAACTCCTGCGTATTTTGTGATTTTGCATAGAATCTTGCACGTGAAGATGGTGCCTCTGGTTGAATTGTTGGCGGTTTGACGTTTGAAAGATTGAATAGATATTTGTTTGGATTGTTTGGGAATGGACGTCCATCATCACTAGTCGACTCCGAGCTCATAAGTAGAGCTGACTAGTTCTTATCACATAGTTTCTACCCCCAAAGCTCGATCGTGTGACACCCGATCGAATTCGGACACCAAGCTAACTAACCCACTTGCCAACTTCGAAGTCATCTGCAGAATACACGTGAATCTTATCGGAGTAGTAAGAATCAAACTTCTTCAAACCTCATAAGAAATGGTAATTCACATAGTGAATCCAGAAGTCTGACCAAGAGGAGAAGTTTATTAAGTCGCTGAATTTATAATGAACCTGAACTGTCCCAATATCGTAGACGTATACTTCCCTTTAGTTTTCACATCGTATTATTTTCTTCCCCGATGGCCTAATTAATTTCTACTCCTAATTACCACCATTGTTAACTTGACTCGCGTCCAATTTTAGTTGGTTCCTACTCAATGCTGACAAGTGTATTGCGTCACTCAATTTACGCAATAAATTCTACTTCAATTCCTACCCGATTAACGTTTTCTATATCGCGTTGTTTGCTGTCTTAAAATTGGAATTCATATGACACATATTTTGAAATATTTCTTTTGTTGCTCAGCAATTTTCTGGAAAGATGCGACTATACAGCTTGAAAGTGATATTGCCGAAAAGAATAAATTGGGCAACAATGATGAATAGGTTGGATAAACGAATTCACAAGCAGTAAAATTACAGGCTGAATGATAACAGATTGTTTTAACTTTCTCAAGCCAAACTTTAAACGAAGTATCTATCTGAAAGTTAACGTTGTGTGGGAAGACCAGGAAAGGTATAATCTATGCAACTGGACATTCGATGTAGTTTAAACTTCACTTGCATATATGTGATACGAGAATCATCCCAATGAACAAATTCATGTTTGTTCACGTTTGTGTCCGAAAATGTAATTAACAATCTGATATTTGGAGGGATTTAACTTGATACTATTTAATAGGGATCACTGACGAATTCCTGATGAAAAGCCATTCATTTTGGAGCAATCTGACGAAAATGTCATTGGCACAGAAATAATCAGATCTTCGGAATACCTAACAAAATTGGATTCATCAGAATGAGGCATGTACCTTGAGGGACATCCCCTAGACAATTAAAGCAATGGAGGATTTCCCACCATCTGCAGTGTACTGCTTAGTATCAGAAAAGTAAAAAATGCCTACAACTATCTAATATCATCAAATCAATGTGCACCGCGATGGCGAGCTACCTAGAATGGTGGCCACATTGCAAACCTGACTGACTGATAGAATTCAGTATGCACCAAATAGAGGACTAGACACGTCACACTAGTTACTAGTCTCGAATCAAATGCACCCATCTATTAATTCATCACGCTACTTGTGTCACAGTGGACCAGTCTAACAAAAGAAGCCTATGCACAGAGTTGAAGACAGGTGTGTAATCAATGAAGGCACACTGAACATATTAAGGACCTCTGTCCAAGCTGGAGACAATATTATGATGCTACACAATACCACCACCTGAAGCACATCTATGATGTTTATAGGCAAATTGTTTGGGGTGGTTAAATCTACTAATAGTGTAATTATTTTGACCCTCAGAGTGAGGTGACTGTAAAATGAGAAATTTGTCTGTCTTCATTGTGTTTTATCGCATATTAGGTAACTGTGATATTGATAGTACTTATCTTTTAAACATGGTTTGGAATGTTCTTCTCGTACGAAATAGTGAATGGTCTGTAATTTCTACATTAAACTGCACCCCGGCTTGCTCATATGTACTTTGCCATGAATGAAATGGTGGAAGCTTCCGTCCGACCACGAAGAAGCAAACTTATCTAGTGAGAGATGAAGTTTAACTCTTAAATGGTGTCCAGCCACTACGAAGCCAAACTACCTCAGTTCATAAAAAGTTGGAGTCTACATAGTTCTGCATAGTTTGGTTGATATGGACAGCGTGTTAGTGAATAGATGTCTGACAAAGTGATCATCTCTGCAGACACAGCATCCTCATGGTTACTTTCTGATCTCATAAAATGGGAGTGCCATAGGCTTAGTAGACTAACATAATAAGCAGACAGGAATATGTTCAGCCTTGTTTAACACCGCATGAACACCCATTGGTTAATTAACTTCACCGTCACGAATAACAAAACACGTTTATCAAGTGATACAGCTGGATCGCATGCAGACACACACAGACTAAGTGAGAAAACACATGCGACAAGATGGATATAAATGCGCGTTGAAACAACATGAAGAAAACTTTAATGGGAAACCAGCATCATGTTAATTGCTCACTTGGTTAACCTCTTATTTCTCATAATTTCAGACAGCGGTGTCAATGCCTTAGTACCGAGACCACGCAAACACATAGAAGGAAATGCACTTTGTAGCATAGCTGAATCCTTCTTCATTGAACATACTTATCCAAAATGTTTTATTCTGATTGATGCCCTGAAAGTGTTCAACAAACGTCTCCTCATGAGGCGTCAACAGCGATCGTATGGTGAAGTCGAAACTCTCCATATCAACACAATGACAATTGTAATTAAAGACGGTTGTGATGAGTCAGAGAATAAATTGTGGCCAAGTGAATACATGGATGAATCACGTGAGTAACTCTCAACTTTTTCATACATAATGAACCATCTAACCACTAAAGACAAAATCAGCATACTCGATGAGAAGATTGAAATTGAATGTAATGAAGTTTGGGGAGCATTGCATGCATTGCAGAGTATCATACAATTGGTGCATAGAAGTAAATCGGGGTCTGTAAGTCAAATTTGACTGTACTGTCAACCTCATGATCATTAACACCTTGTTTATTCATTCATCTAGCTTGTAATACACGAAGACATTATTGAGGATGCACCAAGATTCATTCACAGAGGATTTCTCGTTGACACTGCCAAACATTATATCAATGTTGATGAGATTGTAAAGTTCATTGTGAGTTTCTCCTCCTTCTCTATTTCTAATTCACACTTTTTAAGGATGCAATGGCGGTTGTGAAAATGAATGTATTTCATTGGCATATGACGGATGACAGTTCATTCCCCTATGTGTCATCCACATATCCTCGACTCTCCCGAGAAGTAGTCTGTCCTTCTTATTTCTTCGACTCACTTTTCTCTATCTTCATATAGGGTGCGTATCATCCACGGAAGTTGGTTTATGAGAATGAAGATGTTGTTCGTGTGATAGAGTATGCCCGTCTACGTGGGATACGTGTGATGGTGGAATTTGATACCCCGAGTGAGTAGCATCTTTTTGAAACAGGTGACATTTCACCACTGTATTTTTCGATATTCAACATTTCTAGTGAAATGTTTATATATTCTTTACCATTGAAGTGGAAATGACAGCTTCGCCTTCCTCATGATTACAGGTCATACAAAGTCATGGGAAAAAAGTTATCGTGGAATGCGGACAAAATGTTCTTCTGGAAGTCAATTAGGCCCATTCAACCCTGCACGTGAGAACAACTTTAAAATTCTGAAAGCGTTTTTCAGAGAAGTGACGTCAGTATTCCCAGAAGCATATATCCATTTGGGTGGTAACGATGTTTCCTTCTCATGCTGGTAAGATTTATCTTTATCTATTCTGAAATGAATGTTGAAGATGACATGAGTCCATTGGTACACTTGAACAAAGCTTCCAAGAGATCCATAGTTTCCTTGATAACTAGAATGGCTATGGTCTCACGGCTGTTGACGACGCATTTATTGAAATATGAATTTGTGATCATTTGATTGTATCTGAGTGAGTTTAGGTTATCGTCACCTTGAGTATGGTAAATTTATGAAATATGGTGTATGTTTAAGCATGGCTATCACTCGTCATTCAAGAATACAAAAACAAAATGATACAAGTAAGGGTTAAGTTTTGTTATGATATCGAATAAGATGCTTTACAGAGATGAAAGTGGTGTACATATTTGAATTTTGAGTGTTACTAACATTGAAACCTTGAATAAGCGCTCTCACTATTGAAGGCTGGACTTATCCGGCATGTTGGTTGAAATTTCACTCGGCAAATTTGTTTTGTCAATAGTTTTTATTAAAATTTTGTTGTATGTTTTCTGGATTGATAGGAATTCTCATTTTCTGGCTAGTTATGTTGGCGTCTGCGTCATTTAATCTGACTGCGACACACTTAGCATATTGGTTGTAATGATTAGTGTTTCATGCTGAATGCGTCAAAACATCTCTACAATGAAGAAGATGGGGTAGTTGGTGGGTAATGTCATCTATACAAATAGTTTATTTCTTGTAAAAGCTGCAGCTTTCGACATAGTGTCATTCAATGAAGACTACGTCAAAATGTGGCTATTTTCGTGTGAAGAACAGTACTATTTTACAAAAGAATGCTATCAGTACATGGGAATCACCTATAAATGCCAACAGAACATAAAACCAATGTGTAAACGAACGGCTATGGAACTGCGATCCAACATAACCGACTAACATGGACGAAAATGACCTTTGAGCGTCTCACTCCATCAATGACCTTGAGCATGCGGGATAATTTCAGCCCTATTGAATCGCTGCATTAAAAATATTCAGTCTGCATAGTTGTTCCTGAGAACGTGAAGTTGTCTGCGTGAAATGTCCGTTTGGTTACTGATATTACTAGTAAAGTTTACTGACTAAATGTCGCTCACATACCCTAGGGGGAAGAATGTAGGTTTGTTTCTGAATTCAAGTAGTATCTTACGAATCAGTGGACTGTTAAACATGTTTAAACAATCTAAAACGCAGAGCACATCAGGAAGACTGATGTTGATTTTGAAAATCCTGATCTTAATTAGTCTCAGTCAGACCTCGGAATATGAGATTCCCTAATATCACCCCACCGATTAAAATTTCACATTCACTAGAAACCCTATTTTCATAACTACACTTCTATGAACTATGAAATTCAGTCTCACATGGTCACAATCGAAACTGTTGGGCAGGTTGCCTTTCGGAAGTCTCATAACATGAGTTGAACTAATAAGAAACTTAACAGCTTATTTGTCAATGATCTGTGAAATCAATGTTTGTTTCCTTCCCTTAATGCTGCCATGATATATTTCATCATTTACTGTCATTTCTTGAGTTCCCAAAAGAAGCGATGGCATATATCCATCGTGATATGTTGTCTGCAATCACACTAAACCGACTCTCCGACTGCCTTAAATGTTTCACTCCCTCTTAATGTGAACTTCATGGTTTCACCTTTGGGAACCATGCCCATCACTACCCAATCCGCTTCCGAATTAAAGCCTGGCGCGTGACTTCACTCAACGTATTTCTAGCCAACGTCCACTTCATTCTGCCCATTATTTAAGCACCAGATTTCCGCCAAATTCGCTACCAGAGTTTTTCCTGTTTCTCTGACATTTTCTGACCACCGAACCTTCATTTCAATTCACTACCAATGATCGTCCACAAGAAACAGATTTCTGTGACTCATCAAGTCTCTGAAACATGTTGATGCAGTAAGTTCATATTCGTGCTGAAAATTCGAACCTTGCTCCTCGGATACGTTCTGTGAACCTACACACTGGCACTAATTAGTAAACCCACTTCTTGCTTTCCCGATCTCGGCTAGCTTCGACATAGTCATTGTTGCTGCCTACAATCGAATCCACTTCGCCCATTAATGTAAAAGGTGTGACTTCATTAGAATTTCTGTCCTTGGCGGTGACTAGTGAGTTACCCCGCATTCTTACACTGAATTCTTCATGTAATGTGGTTTTCGTTAGTGTCAGACGTCTTACTTTCAACAGCCTCAAATCAATTCTCTTCTCGCTCATTACTCTTCGTTCAGCTTTCCGTTTCAAAGAACTTGGTATGTCGCATCATGATGCAAGCGCTGAATAACGTTCACGTAGTTCCACAGTTTCTTCTAGTTAACATCCAGAAAGACAGCAAAAGTTTCTCATTAAATCAACCGGCTCAGAGAACACAACCAAATCGAAACAGCTGTTCACATTTGCTGAAATCCATCAGGATATCCTTCTAATCCACTGTTGGTAGTATCTTGTGAAAAGTGTCGTAATTGATAGTTGGGTTGAGAGACACTATAAACACCATCATATGAGTTCATGTTACTATTTACAGCTGACACCCCCAGTATTATGCAATTTTTGGTACAGATATTATTCACACATTTCATAAAATCGAATAAAACCAATTAGTCTTATATTCTCTAAAATATGTCAAACTGTTTCCGCTTGAAATAGGGAATCGAATGCTGGAATTTCGGATTTCATGAAGCTGAAGAAATTCGGTGATGACTACGGGAAACTTGAATCGTATTACTTTGACCGACTAATTGAAGTTATTCAATCAGTTCAACCAGAGGGTCACGTGATTACACCAGTGGTTTCAAATGAAGTATTTCACAATGGTTATCGTGTAAGTGAATCCTTTTTCTTTTTTAGAATAAAACACCCCTCGCAAATAACTAGTATCTGTGGAGTATCGCCCACATCGATTGAGGGCATTTTCATAGCAATAGTTTTATGCGTATATTTGTTCACACTGATTGCAGTAACTTCACCAGAAAGGTTAAAGTTGGTAGATTTATGTGATGCAGGTGAACCCTGGTATTCGTTCGGGTTTCTAAAATTCAGTTAGTTTCTCCTCAAAGTCCAAAGAGAGGAGTTCAGGTGAACATAGATAAAACAGAGGTGATGAAGATTCCTGGGCAACACCAGTGACAGCAACAACAACAGACAACAATCAGCATAAATGGAAGGAACCTGAAAGTAACAACCTCTTTTACCTACTTGGGAAGCATCGTCTCAACTACTGGCGGACGGAGCTGATGAGGATATCAAAGCAAGGATCGGGAAAGCAAGACAAGCTTTCACTACTCCCACCAATTCTGTGTGGAGGTCAACAACACTCAGCATCAAAAATAAGATCCGGATTTTCAACTCCAATGTGAATTCAGTGCTACTATACGTATCAGAGTCTTGCACTGTGCGTCATAAAGAGTATCTCAAACAAACTACAGACCTTCATTAACGGTTGTCTTCGCTCAATACTCAAGATCAGATGGCCAGAAAAGATCAGAGACAGAGATCTCTGGCAATGAGCAAACCAACCAGGAACTGATTGTGAAACAAATAGGCACGAAGAAATGGAGATGGATTGGCCATACTCTTAGGAAACCATCAAGTGACATCACTAGACAAGCCATTGCTCGAGTGGAACCCAAAAGGGAAGCGGCGAGTTGGTCGTCAGTGCAAGGGTGACTTGGAGGAGGTCATGTGAAGAGGAGATAAAAGCGCGTGGGCAGACTTGGAGCCAGGTGAAGACTCTAGCAGAGAACCGAACGCAATGGAGATGCACCGCTGAAGCCCTATGTTCCTCCAGGAATTAAAGGATACAGTAATAATAATAATCTCCTCAAAACACGTGCAGTATTCTCCAGTTTCTTGATTCCTGGTGATCACTGTTGCGTACGTCGTCAAACCCAATTCAGAATAGCATCCAGTTTCTTCTTCTACATCTAATAGTGTATAGTTCAGGCATTTACGAATTTCATTAACGCCTATTATATTTCAAAGTATACTTAGAAGAAAGATAATGACAGTGCCTGTATGATGACATTCAACAGTCGATTCCAAGAAAAGCGTTATAAAGTAAACTCGAAAGTAAAATGTTTGTTTTACTGTGAGTAGGTTCCACTTAACTGTGATCTGTCATCTTGAAATAACCTTCAGTTATACACATAATGTTTGTCATCAGATCATTGGAATCAGATTAGACTGCTCAGTTTCCATACTCATAACATATCAGTTTATGTGTTCACTAATTCATAAAGTACCCTTTTCCATTCAGCCGAATAAGACCATTGTGATGCACGTCTGGCAGGGCATAAATTGGCCGAATATTGTTAAATCTATAACGTCAGCTGGTTATCGAGTTATAGTTTCAGCATGTTGGCAAATCTCTCCTTCAAATCATGCAAATCGATGGTATGATTATCATAAATGTGATATTGGAGCATTTGAAGGTGAGTAATATACGTGAGTATAAATGTTGCTCTCTGAATTGCCCACACATATTGATTTCATGTTTTTCGTTTGACTGATTAGGGTTTTGATTTGATTTCTGTAAGTTTCACTGTGGATGTGATCAAGCGGTGAATGATACGCCATGTAGTGCTGTATATATGAAATTCCCCGTGAGTATTGAACATCAAATAGATAATACGGTCAGTAGATCCGTTAGGCATAGTGGACTAAGAAACATGATTTCATCTATGTGAATCATTATCTAGTGGCTTCGAATTTGACTTTGTGACACTTCTTCGCTTTCATAAACGCTCATCATGGATCACAAATTAATTGAATTCTCACATGAGACAAATAACGGTCATACACCAGGTTGACCGATGTTGTCTTTGTAGGAAATCATTCGCTTAACGATTGACTCAGTTCCTCATACAAAAACTAAATTTCAGCCCTGTTGCAGTATCTGAGCTACAGATATCATTAGAACTGACATTTTGGATGATAAAATAAGCTAAGAGGAAGGCCATTAAATAAGATCGGATATTTAGAAACTTTATGTAAGTTCCTATGGTGTGAGTATATAAAGGGAAGTGCTTGAAAACGGTACAGATGAACTGTTTGTATCTAACTTTAAAAGATATGTGGCAGCTAAATCTTTGGCTTCAAAACTCAGAAATATTAAAGCTAAATTACTCTCCTGCAACACTACAGGTTTTGTCATTCCCATGGATTGAGAGCAAAGCTACCGAATCCAGCAAATTTAATGTGAATTTGTAAATTTGAGTGATTTTGTGGGAACAGTTGTACAGTCGAAACCTCTCAGCCACAACATCTTCACCTTCCCCAGGTTTGCATGCTTTCGTTTGCTAGGCCTAGCTTGTGAAGTTTCTGAAAATACTTTCAACACAGTTTGTGCGTTCAGGAGCGTTTTAGGCAGTCACTCTGACTTTCGAAACCCTCACTTGTACCCGTTAGCATGCTTCAATTTTATTTCCACTAATCACAATAACATTATACTTTTGTGCTTGATAATTTCGCCTACTTGTCAAGATTGTTCGCCGACACACTGTCGCTAATCAACCAGAGAATTAGACTTATGTGAAATTTTCAGTGTTTCTCACCCCATCTAGTTTGCAAAAGAAGTAAATCTGTATGGCTGTGATTTTCCAGTCACGGAAAGGAACTCACTTGAGAAATCATCACGAATCAGTTACAAAACACCTGTGCAGTTCATTCATATTCTTTCCTTTAGTGGTTTTATTAGAATCAAGAAGGTCTGCTTAAATTTCGGCTACCGAAAACTTCAATCGGCACTTTGCGGATAATTTTCCCTGTTCGGTTTGTTTGAATCCAATAAAAATTGACCTCTAATAGCATTATTTACCCTGGCGAGTATTTAAAATTTTCACAACTTACTTATTTGCAATTGTCTAGTAAACATGACAAACGACATAATCGTAGGTGGCAACGTATCCCAATGCATGGGATAACTGTTCACCATTTACGTGCTTAGTTCTCAAAATGAATCCAAGAACCTTCTATGATTGGATTCCAACCATACTTGTGCATTCACCGAAGGAGATACAGAAAAGATATCACAATGGACTTGTTTGCACTTTAGGTGAGATAGCAATATGTCACACAACTTACTTTCACTTAATATTTCACTTGAAGATCCCGTACGGAAAGTAAGTGCCATGCGATAAACTCCTTTGAAGTTACCGTACATTATACAAATACTGTTCAGAATGAAGCCTTCAGTATTGAGTAAACTTAGTATCCTAATTGAAAAATTAATCCCTCGTATTCTTGCATTACTGTCTAAGGTACTGAGGAAGAGCAGAAATTGGTGATTGGTGGAGAAGCCGTTGTATCTGGAGAAAATGTGGACGATACAAATCTCTTCACGCGCGCATGGTGAGTTGTGTTATCTGCCCATCCAGCAGGTGCATGAAAATGCAACATTCATGAATAAAATTTGTAATGCTTGAAGATGTTTCTTTGGGTGGTGAAGACGTATTAGACCGATTATAGTGCATAATTAAGCTCAAAGTGATTATAGAACGGAGTGGGTTTGTTAGTGTATGATGTATTTCTGATTTTGGCTCCCTTTAATGCATAGATTGAGGGCATAATAAGCTTACGATTCGCTGTTCAAATGTGGACACATGCGGTTGGTAGTGCAAGATGCCTAGATTGTTATTTATACATGCTCACAATTGCAATATATGGAACAATGTCACTGTGAATGTTTAACTAAGATTTCATATAAGCTCAGCAAAGTTGAGTCTTTCAGTTTTGGTATCTAAGGGTGGTTTAACGCCTTGTTTCACTCAGTATGTAAATATTTCCTATCGTAGTGACTATAGTGATCACAAAACACTAGCTAACTTATACATACTTTTATCCCTCTATACTCTATGCATCCGACTGAATCGGCACGAGATCACTGTAAGCATTCTGGTTAACCTTAACGAGAATGAAATGAGCAGTGTTAAAACCAATATTATGAAATATATTGATCGAGTGAAATGCATATATCCAAATTCAGGTTAGTTCGATTACTGCAGAAGTTTTAGATTCTATTTAGCTCTGATTTGTTTGATCCACTTGAGATCATGGTGACGAAGAGAGTCTCGTTGAATCAGATTTGAGGAACGAAGCTGACGAACTTAATTGATTACGTTTAGATTTGTGAAAACACATTCGAATGTTCTTTGGAAGATACAGGGTGAGATGTTCTGACAGCTGCCACGAATATACATACGCACACTGAGCAACCTAATGATGGTAACTTATCAGGCAGAGCCTAAGGCGTCAATCCTATTTCTGCGTTTTCTAAATTTATCTGTACAGATCCTACACTAGTAAATATGTGAAGGTCTTTACCTTGATAGAGATCACGTTTCTATGTTAGTTGCAATGAATACCATGTGGTTATCCATCTACTCAGTCTGAATAAGACAGGAAGTCAATCGAGAGCCTAAATAGCTCAGCGACAACGTCTCTGATGACTGCAGCACTGGATGACATTGGTTCAAATCTCAGAGGAGACATGAGTTCCTCTAGGATTTCACATTTGCCTTGCTGACTGGTGAGTGCCAACAAGCACAAAATCCAGTTTCAATTCTTCCTACAGATTGCTTCCAACCATTTGATATCATTAAGACTGGCTGTTGATAGAGACAGTATGATTCCGTCTTCGTAATATCCATGTCATGATAGTCAGTTGTTGATCAATATGAACTTTTCTACGTGAATTCTTAGAAATTTCGGAATGCAAGTTTGAAAATGTTTTACCTACACTACTCATATAATTGCAAGTATTTAGTTACCTTATAGGAGAATTTCGCCAAAGTTTGTATGGCTGACAATTTAAAAACGTCTTTTTCACACGTTGTTTATTAATTCTCACTAGGCCTGAAGGTGCAGTCATAGCCGATCGTCTATGGTCACATGATCAGTCCACCATTGTTGAAATGAAACAAATACTGGATGAACTGCGTTGTCATATGAGAGAGTAAGTTCATACTTTACTGACCTCGTGAAGATATGCTCATATTCCGTTCACTGTGTAAGCTATGTTCAGTCATTTCAAAAGATTAATTGATATGATTGAATGTGCAGTGATAATTGCTAACTCTTTGACAATACTTCAAAACACTGCTAGTAGCGTACTGAATATTGAAAGACGTGACAGAAAAACAAGGTGAAATTGATTCGAATGACAATGAATGAAGCGATTAAATTCCACATCAACTGTAAAATGCGTCCTTCAAGGAGTGTTGAAGATGGCTGTTTGTTAGTTGTGTAAACCAACTCAGCATCTGGAACTTTCATGAAACAACGGTTGTCGCTAACTCCAAAACTTAAGCATCTGTTGGTGCTTAATATACTTGAAATCAAAGTTGACTATGAAACGTGCCAGCGGAAATATTCAGTTTGATGTTTTTAAGTTCATAAGTTTCTCCTCAGGCATGCGGACTTGAAAGTTACAAAGACGCTTATTTCTGTTTTATAAATTCACGGAAATACATTGCTTTCAGTTGATGTGTAATTGCTAGTAGCTGTCGACTGGTTAAGCTTTCGATCAACATGGGGTCTCTGTGTGTGTAAACTAGAGGGAACCCTTCTCTATAGTTCCTGTGTACCCTCTTTCCTGCCTTCATGTACCTGAATAACAATTCAGTATCTGACATCCTTTATCCACTCATGCAAAATGCAGTGAATGTTAGTCTTCACCTAACTACAGTTTATCAGGGTGGACATTCAACTTTTAATGGCGTGTGAAATTTAAGTATTGTGGAGTACACAGTCTTACAGTCAGCACCCACTTATTTCACTTTTATGAAGCAGACTTTATAAGCAAACGTTTAAAAATAAGAAAATTTGAGTCTGAATGAATGGAATCTAAAATAATTGTGACGCTGAAATCTTTTCGCCAACAATTCATTACACCTTTCCGTTTCTTTTGCTTATACAGATTAGGATTCAAAGTGAAACCGTTAGATGAACCGAAGAGTTGTTTACAACCATAAGAATGTGCATCTCCATCATCTGGATGTCGACGGAACACTCATTATTTCTTTATTCCACCTTATGGATTTAATAAAATACAGTTTTTAAATTGTCTTCCTTCTGTGTACAACAACTTAACAAAGTTGATATAAGAATAAAACTTGGGCACTGTGGTAGAGTGTAATTCCATTATGAGTATATTTTGTTTTGATAAAGTCTCACATTGTTATACAGTAATATTTACTGATGACGTTTCGAGCACAATTTATTGCCACTCATAATGATATCAAGGTAATCACACGACTTCCTAAATTCATTTATATAGTTCCATTGTTTTTCACTTGATTTGATTGGTAGTAATATTTTCCATATTTCGGGTATGAGTGATGATTCATTCCTACTGCATGTGTTGGGTGTAGATTCGATGAACAAGGATTCAGTAATCAACCTCTCTCTCTCTCCACCTACCTAGATTACTTTTTGGAATTTTAACCCTCTCCCACCCTATTGTGTGGTTATGTGCTAATGTATGCATTGCAATTGCTGAGCTTTTTTCTAAATTACTTATCTTCTGTGGGTCAACCATTCTTACCTTAGCTAAATTCTTATGTTCTGACTACCCCTGACCTACTAGTTTGACCTATGTAGTTGACCTCACAGTCATTGCAGGGTATTTTGTAAATTATATTATTTTGTCTAATTGGGTCCACTGGGTCCTTTAACCTACAGAGCTTGTCCCTGAGTGAGTTTGTAGGTTTAAATGCCACCCTAATTCCTGCTTTATTTAGAATCCCACGTAGGGTCTCAGATATCCCGTCTTTATATGGTATAACTGTAGATTACTTATATTCTCTGTTATTTATGTTATTATTACTAGTTTCACAATTCTTTTTCTTTTTCTTTTGGCCTTCTTCAATCTTCCTAATGAATTTTAAAGGATAGTTATTTAACACCAACACCTCTTCTATCTGTTTTATTTCATCATTTAGGTCTTTTTTTGTGCTACTTAGTGCCATTGCTCGGTTTGTTAAACACTTAACTAAGCCTGCCTTTACAGATAACGATGGATGGGATAATTTAAAGTTTAAATATCTATTAGAATGCGTTGGTTTTCTATAAACACTAGTGTGTAGTTTGCCTTCTTCTATTCGTTTTATTTTACAATCTAACAGCACAGCTAATTCTCCTTGTTCATTTTCGGCTTCAAATGTGAATTTTATTCCCTCCACTAGTGAGTTTATGTGTGTCAAGAAGCTAGAAAGAGATATTTTCTGTTCTCAACACTATGAAAGTGTTATCCACATATCTCCAGCAAATTTTTGGAGTAGGATTAAACGTATTAAGAGCCATATTTTTCCAGCTATCCATAAATATATCTGCTACGATAGGGGGTATTGGTGATCCCATTGCTACACCTCCAGTTTGTCTATATATTTTGCCTTGGAATTTAAAGATAGTAGATGTGAGGCACAACTGAATTCCTACAATAATAACATCAATGGGTAGTTTCGTCCTATAAGTGAGTTTAAAGTCTGCAATTAATTCTTTTTTAACTGCTTCTAAGGCCACATTGATTGGTATGTTAGTATAAAGACTGGTCATATCAAAATTAACCATTGTTTCATCATTTTCTAGTTGTATGTCATTTAGTTTATTTTTCACCTCAAATGAATTAGCTAGTCTAGAGTTTGAGCGATTTCTAATGGGGCATAATATTAGAGCTAAGTGTTTTGACAATTCATAAGTAGGAGTATTCCTAAAAACTACTATTGGTCGTATGGGGTACCCTGGTTTGTGTATTTTTATAGTACTATACATTCTACTAGCATTATTGGTTTTAGGCATTAAATTAAACCATTTTGACTCACCCAGTGACGGCTTCATTCTGCGTACTAATTCCGTTGTGGATTTTCTAACCTTATTCATTATTAATAATCATAATAATCACTTTATTCCACAACAATAACAATTTACAGCATGGCATTTTCAGCGTTTCTTTTACATATTGCGTTGGTTTAGCTCTGTTTATAATGATATAAATATATAAAATGTTAAAATATTGATAGTTAATAGGAAAAATAAAAATAAAACCCAACAAAATCACACCATTGCTAGGTCATAGTGAATAATAAATAAATAATATAACAAATAACACATGCATTAATATGTATCATTACATTTTATAGTTTAGTTAATGATTTAAAAGTTGTAAAAGTTCTTTTCTGATATTTGTCTCTTCACACAATACTCGTGCCAAATATGGTACAGTCGAATTTTTATATTTTGTAGTACGAGCATAAATGTTTATGAAATTTCTTCTGGTCTTACCCGAAGAGATGCAATTGTGAATAAAGAGGATGTTCACTATCAGACAACATAACTTTAGCTAAGTGTTTACAAGAATTCATATGCCTATTGACAACAGTGTCGGTTAGTTGAGTCAAAGGGATAACACTGACCCTACTTACAGCCTTCAATGTTCTTCGTAGTATTATATGGCCTTTCTTGAGTAGCCCAGGGATGAATAATGGAGAACAATAAAGAATGATGGGCAAAACACATGAATTAATACATTGTATGAGAAGAGGTTGGGTTATACCTGAGTGCCTCAACTTCTTTATGTAATAAGTCAGACGGAAAATCTTCTTAGAAACTATAAGAATATGAGACGACCAGCAAAGGTTTGAAGAGAAACTAATGCCAAGATAAGAAACACTTGACTTACTCTCTATCATGGTACCATCAATATTACAACAATCATGAGATTGGATCAATCCATGCATGTCTTTTTCACTTCTCAAGCTGAAATCAACAGTATTACGTTTAGTTGGATTTAGTTTAAGACCATTTGAGCTAGACCAATCCTTAACTTCAGCTAAGAAGTCATTCATATGGGAACAATCCGATGTGGAAACTACAGGGACAGAAACGGTCAGATCATCAGCATACTTAATGAAGTTTACTTTGGGTGAGTTCGGAAGGTCATGCAAAAAGAAAGAGAAAAGAAATGGAGAAATTACTGCACCTTGAGGCACACCACTTTCAGTTAGCTGAGAAGTGGAGCGCTTTCCAGCCAAAACAGTATGCTGTTTCCTATCCTTAAAATAAGAAGACAGTCATCTAGTTGCCCAGTACTCTGTTTGTGCTGAAATCATCTTTCCTAATAAAAGTGTCCGAGGAACCCTGTCGAAAGCTGCAGTATAGTTTAAAAAAGCTGTTCGAACGAACTTAGCACCCTTATCAAGGCAGGAAAAAATATAGTGGTGTAGTACAACGGCTGCATCTAATGTACTTCTTCCACACTTATAAGCAAACTGCTTAGGGTCACTAAAAGCTTTTAAAGATGGTTTAAGAATATTCAAAAGAAGTTTCTCCATAGTTTTCAAAAAAGGAGATGTTATAGCGACCGGTCTAAACTTTATACCTACTCCAGAAGATGATTTCTGTACAGGTACAACCTTGATTTCTTTCCAGTCAGCAGGTACCATTTCCCTGTTGAATGATGCACTAAAGATTTGAGTAAGAGGATGACACAATATGTCTGCACACTTTTGAAGAAGAATGCCTGGTACACCATCTGGACCAAGGCTGTGTGTTGGATTCAAAGATTTCAAACATAATAATACATCCTTTTCTTTAAAACCCAGAAAATGACCATTATCTTGACTAGGTACATCAGGTACAACCATATTAATTTGTTTCATGATAAACGATTTGTTTAAAGCATTAACATCAGAATAAGCATCAACAGACATTTGTTTTTTACTTGCAAGTTTATTGAAAAGTTTCCAAATGTTTGAAGGATTTTTACATGATAAAAATTTTTCATTATATAGTCTGCTCAACCTTTCTATTTCAGTTTTTATAAGGGTGTTTATTTTACGGACACCAGTATTATCACAATTCCTATACAACTTCTCTTTTTTGTCTTCTAAGTTTTTTCAGCTGCAAAGAAGAGATTCTGTCAAATCTCGAAAACAGTGTTTCATATGGACAGCAAATATCCAAACAAAACTTCAGATAATCGGTTATATTAGAGACAGTAGCATCCAACTTATCGTCAGTAAATAGTTCCCAGTTGGTATCATACAACATGCTTCTTAGTGCTAGAATGTTGTTATAGCTGCAGTACTTGAGCAAAATGGACAACCTGTTATTTGTATTTCAAGACGTCTAAGTAAGAGTGAACAAGGGTACTCACAAACCCAGAAAGAGGCTCTAGCAGTTGTATGGGCAATAAGACGCTTGCACAAGTATCTCTTTGGTGCTAAGTTTCACATAGTTACTGATCATCAGGCTTTGAAATTCATTTACAACCCAGAAAAATCTTTGAATAGATCATCTGCTGCTATGGTTCAAAGATGGAGTTTAGAACTAAGTGCATATGATTACACTATTGAATACAGATCGGCTAAGGATATACCTCATGCAAACTTCTTATCTCGTTACTCATTATTTGAAAATTCTGCTAATGACACTGATTGTTTTTTAGTCCAACCGTTACCTGTGGATAGAGTTCGACTTATAAACGATACGCGGAAATATTACGGGTGCATTATAAATGCAACAAAAAGAGGTTGGAATATTCAGTGTAAGCGAAGATTTCCGGACTTTTATAAGCGAAGAGATGAGATTTCAGTCCATCCTGAAGGATTTCTATGTCCTAATGACAGAATTATTATTCCTCCGACATTAAGATCTGCGATTTTGGATGATCTTCATTCTGCACATCTGGGAGCTGATAAGATGAAATCATTAGCACGTCTAACATGTTGGTGGCTGGATATTGATGCTGACATTAACAAAAGATCGAAGAGCTGTTCCAGCTGTTTGCATAAAATGTCCTATGGGAAGTCGTCGTGGAAACCGTGGCCTACGTCTTGTGAGGTTTGGCAGCGTATTCATGCAGATTACTGTGGTCCATTCTTAAATTCATACTATGCTTTAATTATTGTGGATTCTTATTCTAGATGGCCAGAAGTTATAATTACAGATAGTCCTAATGCAAAATTCACTCACA